GGGTGGGGGGGGGGGGGGGGGGGGGGGGGGGGGCTTGTGGGGTGCCGGGACATACCCTCGCGGCCAAATGCAAGACATGCTCCTCCGTGCGAAGCACAAAATGAGAAAACGTACCCAACGAAAAGACCAAAACGTGACATACCGCCACACGGAATGCAAAAGGAGAGAAAAAACACCATTACGAGAGTGCACAGAGAGGTACAAACCGCTCCGAAACCGCTCCGCGCTACCTTGAAATGGAAAAAAAAAGCACTGCGCTCCGTGACATTTTCCCGTCGGACTAACCGCACCACTCCGCTCCGTTATATCGCAAAACAAGGGGAAAAAACGATCCGCGGAGCGGGTCTCCTACGTGAACACCTCATAAGAACAGAGGAGGCAGAAGGACTACACTATATACGGTTCCCTCCCGCAAAGGAAAGGCAGAAAAAGGGCAACAACAATACTGCTCTGAACACATGAACAGGTCAAGAGCTGCTTGAAAACGGCAGACGAATGGCTTCCGGAGCAGTCTCCACTGCTAACGAGATGAAGATTGTGTTTACAAAGAAATCTCAAGGGATCCTGTGGGCACAAACGGTAAAGTGCAGATGTCTGCCCGCCCGTGTCAAAAATCGTCTTCCCTTGATATTAAAGAAAAAATCCCAATTATCTACCTTCGATGTCTCAATCATTCGCATGTACTAAGATCACACCTCAGAAGAAACAGCTTCGTATCCGTAAACAATCGTTTCATAGGCATGGACGTGTGCTCATTTTTTTTCTTTTACCTGGCCCATCGTTTCAGCGTCCCTCCTGGCGAGGTAGTCGTTTGCGGTCACCACCAACACGGTGCCCTTTTCCGCGAGAGCGTTGAGATAGCAGGGCAGCGTCGCCACGAGAGTCTTCCCCTCCCCTGTTGCCATCTCGGCCAGCTTCCCCTCGTGTAAGGCTAGCCCGCCCATGAGCTGCTCACCGATGGGCAAACAAAACAAAAACATGCGGGTCCAATGTAATTAGGTTGGCCCGCGCATCGACCGCGTCAAGAGGGCTAGGAAAGTACGGACAGAAGGGAGGTACTGGGCACAGAGATCGGGACGGATTTTGGATGTGAAGCCAACAACAACAATCATTAGAAGCATAAAATCATGCACGCACACAAACGACAGGAAAGCGTGGTCGCGATTTTTATCCAGCAATGAGACTGACGTCTTTTCGTTTGGTGCCAGTTAGCGTAGTCGATGGCGATGAAAATAAAACCCACGCGCGCAAGCGCACGGGACAACAAGTTAGCTGCCGCAGTGACTTGTGCAGCGATACATAACCGAGCGAAAGCAGGCGAGAAAAAGCGCAACACAAAAACACAAACATGCATACACCGACGAAAGAGTCGCAAACACACAGAGCGTACCCCGCAACTACCCACAGCCGCAATACTGTCGGTGGTGTGGGTGGTGCCGTTGTTGCTACGAACGAAAATACAAGGGAATAACGACGAAAGCTAAACATCAACACAACAACCATATCACCTGCACGTCGTAGTGTCGTAGCTCCAGTACCCTCCAGGCAGCCTCTCGGACCACGGCAAACGCCTCTTCTATCATGTCATCCAAACCCTCACCCTTCGAAAGCCTGTCGCGAAACTCCTGCGTTTTGTCCCTGCCAATTAACCATTGCCAGCGCCATTGTCAAGGTCCCAATGGCAACTCGACGACCATAGGTTGCATTGCGTGAGATACCATACCCCCTGAACCGATTCTCAAAGCTCGGTTACTCCACCACGCCTCCAGGTGCTTTTATGTACCAGCTACCTGGTCTTTCGTTTCCCATAATTTTCTCGGATGCGTATGGTACACACGGTTTTCCATGTCTCGGAGTATCGTTTGGGGCACTAACCAGCCGGGGTTCGCGCGTCGACAATGCTGTAGCGTAAGATGCGTGAATATCGATTCATGAAAAAAAAAAAGTCTTCACGACGTGGCATGACATGTACAGCAGTACAGAACGAGCCCGGAGATTACGAAATGTCAAAGTAGGTCTAGGCCTGGTTGCGCATCTTGAACCTACAAAAAAAAAAAAGCCTCTGATTCTTAACGAAATAGGCTTTCGTGATTACGGTCCCGTTCTGTAGTGTACTGCCTAAAGTAATCAAAGACTTGCTGGGTTTGGTTCCCTTCTTCATCACCTTAGCTCGTCGTCGGTGAGGTCCTCTATCTCGTCCTCGAGGGCGTTGATGTTCTTTATGCGAGTCTCGTACGACACCAGCACGTCCGCGTTTGCCGCGCTCACCGGGTCTGCCTTGGAAGAGAGCAGGTCGTCCAGCAGGCCCATGCGCAAGGCCGCCTGCGTGGAGCCCGCACCATGCGGATGGACAAGCAGATTTTGCTGATTGATCAACACGCTCGAGGGTTCCTAAGTTGCTCTTAACCGCCCCTTTTTTTTAGTGTCCTGTTTTCTGTTGTTCAGAGTTCCAAACCATAGCAGAGGGTCCTCAGTGGTACCGGTATGGACTAGATCAGTTCACCGGTACTATTCAGAACTGGGATTTTACATAGGTTTTAGTACTGGAGTGGACACTCGTGCCCAGATGTTCAACCGGCACTATACCCGTACGCACCATTCAACCGGCACTGGCGAGTCCTCTACTGTACCCTACAGCAGTCTTGCCGCTGCGACTCAAAGAGCTCCGGTTCGGGGCCACAGACAAGCCCTCCACTGCGGTGCAAAACTTAAAATGTTGAGCTCGAGACAGGTCCAATCGTCCTTCGCTCAAAAGTGCATGTTCCCGCGTGTACGCACAGTATCGGCTGTGTGGCAACACAACGGAGAGGTCGACGTAAGAATTGCGGGTGCCGCGGAACATGTTCCCGTCCGTGAGCGGACACATTTTCAAATACGCGGCCCGTCAGTTAGCGGACACGATTGGAAATCGCCAGCGTAGGATAGAAAGGCGATGCCGTTGTTGGTTCTTCGAGCTATGCATAGACATACTGGGGTTAGAGTTTTGTAGAGGGTGTTGCTGGTATGTCGGATAACAACATGGTTCAGACAGCGACGACGGTCGCGTGTACTCTACTTTTCCTACATCAACATATCCTTCGGCTCAGTGTTCGCTGGCGAGGAACTCATACATGCGCCGAGAAGTGGAGGGAGAACTGCTCCGCAACGCACGCCGAATGACTATCTTAGCAGCCAAATCAAACCATTGCGCCCGTCTGCTCCGACAGGCCTATCCGATGGTATGATTGGCTTGGTGCCGCTGTTGCGATGAACACGCACGTTTGTGTGCCTGGCTTGTTACACACGAGCTACCATATGCGGCGATGACCTACTAGCGTGAGGTGTGAGATGACCGTGTCTCCCCGAGATCACCGCAGGCGTCTTTCCGCCAATATATATGAGTTGCGGTCGAACAAGACAAAGGTAGACTATTAGACTTCCAGCAGCAGCAGCAGCACACTACTGGGGATCGCGCCTAGGCTTTAAAGCAGCAGCACAAACTCATGTACCCGTCCTCTAGAAGTGCTCGTTTATAAATAGATCACATGAGACCGAGTTCGAAATGCAGCGGGCATCTGCGGTGTAACTTGCAGCTTGCGCTACTGCTGTAGCATTTAACTCCAGTAGATGGAGCTTTGTCCTTCGAGCGTGCCACAAACAACAATTGTCACCACGGCGATGGAGGACTCCCGTTGCGTATGCACACTAGAAGTGTCATAATGACTGTGGGTATATCTCGAACGGGTTGGGTTGCGTGTTCGTAATTGTTTTCCTAATGATTGCGCTGTGGGCGAGATGACATCAACGCAGAGGCGTAGATCCGAGCGGGGGCGTCAGACGCTACATCGACCCGCATACGCATGCATCGCAACAGCAACAAACATCCGTCTCAATACCCAGGGAACACATCTCGAGCAGCCCCACAAAGACACGCCAAGAGGAGCCCGCCTCTACTGCCCGCAAAACTAACCTCAGCTGATGGTTCCCTCCTCCTCGCCGTGGTAGACAGCAGTGCAGCGGCTGCAGCTGCCTTACCAAGATCATGGCCGCGACGAACGGAAGTGGAACATGAAAACGCCGACTCTGCTGCTTCTGTCGCGGGGGACCTCGTGGACGCCGACGACGGGAGATACCGTCCCGCGGTCCCCTGCACGAAGGCGGACGCTCCGGATGAGCTCGCCAGGAGCAGCAAGGAGGTTGCCGCAGCTGTTCTCTTCATGGCAGCAGGCTCTCCTCTTCGGATGTTCCTCCACAGGGGGAGGAAAGTTGTACTGCTGTTGCTACTGCTGCTGTATATTGGCGTTGCTGTGATCTGCTGGGGATCTTTAAAACCGCAGCACTCGGGGGTGAAGATCTTGGAGATATTTGCAATTCGCTGTAGCGGTGGCAGCGACGGCGACAGTAGTGTGGACAGCAGCAGACAGACACAGCCTGGACATCAGCAGGGTCAGCAGCATGCATGTTGCACCTGTCGGGGCTCCGTGATTCATGGCAACCCCCTCGAAACGAACATTTAATACATTTCGAGGTGCTCCTCACCTAGCTCCAGGCTCCACCTCGTAGCAGGCTACTGCACCACGCACGGTCTGCGGCGGTCGAGCTTCTCTCCCTCTCTGTTTCTCTCTCTTTCTCTGGACTAGGTGGAACTCTAGGAAGTTCTGCACGAAAGGTGTGTGGACCCATTATGCAGTGGCCTCGGTGCTTTGATCGTGTGGGACAAAATGGCACGTCATACCTCTGTTTTTTTAAATACTGCTGCTGCCGGCACCGACCGATGTAGTAGACTACACGAGATGGTGCGCCGCTTCGACGTCGTCGTCTCGCCTACAGCAGTACACCACCACCACCATCGGCAGCTGTTAGAGCCGTGTTACGTGTCGGAAGACGTGTAGGGCAGGGTGCCACGCCCGGTCACGAATCCCCGTTGTGCTGGCTGTCTCGAAAACGGGCTTTCGACGCTGTGTACCTCAGGATGTACAGCAGTGTTCCCCAGCGACGGGCAGGGATAACGCCCCCCGAGTGTACATGCATGTGTATGTGTTCGCTGCTTGCCTGTGTCCATCTTTGACGCATCAAGTTCTGACGAGCTAGGCTGCATACTCTGAACGGCGGTGGGTCACTCTGCCGCTTTCCTGTATGCCCCCCCCCTGCCACAGCAGTCGCCATCTGCTGCTGCGGTACAGCGTCCAGCGCCGATTAGGATGCAAACCTTTCAGAAACATTACTCAGATGTTGACGATAAACAGCCCACTAAGAAAAATACACCTCAGCTGTGGATCCTACGCTAATATCTAAATAATGACCTCCTTGTAGCTCGTCGGTTGTGACGAAAAGTAAGAAATTGAGCGGGGACCCCAAGTTGACGTTTCGTGAATGCGGGCGCTAGCCAACTGTAACCGCCGCAGTTCGCCCCCCTACTGCTGTGAAGTACATAGTACGCAGTCATTACTATTTAGTAACAGGTTTGGGTCTAGCAAAGATCGCGTCCACTCATTGGGAGAGGTCATACAGTCCCGAGGGACGAAGGATGACTTGGCTTCAGCCAGGCTATCAGGAAACATAAATACATAGAGAGACTACATGCCGTTCGAGATACAACCACGGTCGAACGGGATTTGTTGAGTCTTCACAGTACAGTATTTTCACCACCTAGGGGGGACGCGGGCTTGAGAGAGTGTGTGTCCAACAAGTCGGAGGCCGAGGACAGGCATCACACAGCGGTGTATCACACAGCGGTGTATCACACAAGCTTTATGTACCACTTCACACAAGCATGGTGGACCAAGGTTTCCGACGCGTGTTTCGCGCAGCTGAGCATAGTGATGACTGCGGTGCGGAAAACAGACATGTTAGTGCGGTGTCCCAAAAGTGTCCCCATCTGGGCTTCCAGTACTCACACGGTCAATAATGCGAATTGCGCCCATCATGTTCGTCTCTAACTTCGTTGACTATCTTGCAGGAGGTGTAAGAGCAGCTTTTTTCACTACTGGTGTGCCGGGAAAGCGGGGGACACGCAGATGGGGGACCAGGGAGGCGGTGGCGGTCGCAAGGAGATCTACACCTATGAGGCGCCTTGGCACATCTACGCGATGGGGTGGTGCCAGCGGTCGGACCCCGGGGACAGGTATCGTCTCGCCGTTGGGAGCTTTACGGAGGAGTACAACAACAAGGTTCAGGTCAGTGCAGCAGCAGTGGCCCCTGGTTTGGTGGCCTTGTTACAACAAGTGCTGCCTCGAATAGTCGGTGCAGCAGCAGTGGCCCCTGGTTCGGTGGCCTTGTTACAACAAGTACTGCCTCGAATAGTCGGGGCACGGCAGTGTTGCTGTACCTCAAATTGGCCAAGTCCTCAAGAGGACCGTAGCACATGGCCAGCTTGCAGCTGGACCGCGAATACCCGCGCGGCAGCACCCACTGCTGCAGTCGCCGCTGTGTGTGCCGACACCACCATGACAACCACGCGAGGGTGTGTGTTGTGTGTGTTTTCGTCCTATTTATTATGGCGACAGTCCCCCCTTTTTTTGGGTGAGACGTGTACTACACTTTTCAGCGTATGTAGAGTACTACACTTTTCAGTGTATTATTTCGTACAACTACAACCATCCAGGGTCACACAGGAGGGGGTAAACACACCAGGGCTTTTTTCTTCTTTTTATTTCTTTTCATGCCCCACCTTCCTGCGGTGCGCGCTGGATTTTATTTTTCTCGCGAGAATGGTCCAGCCGTCCCTTTCCCTCGTCAACGGTGCTAACGTCGAAGTTTGGTACTCACGAGAGCTTGTCAGCTATATTTCGCTTTCACCCGCAAAATTCGTAAATTTTCCACCCCATGGGGACTCGAACTCACGACCTCTGCGACTAGCGCATTACGAAGATACCACTACATCACTGGGGCGACCGGGAGGGTGAATGCTGCCGAGTTCTTGGCAGCGTGGTGGAGCTACGCAAACTGAAGCAAGATAGGTTTGACGTTACCAAGGTACTCAAACCCTAGGAGGTTGTAAATGCAGAAGAAGTCTTGGGTGACTCTGCGAAAGCCGAATGTAGGGTTGGCGTCATTGCATCTTCTACTACTGCTGTGCACAGGCATTGGTATCACTATTGTACAGTAGTTACAAAGGGATTCAACGCTTGTGTCCGTCATTGATGTGATGGACCTCCCGACCAACGCAGACCCTGTATAAAATAGTCGGGTTACAACGGTACCAGCCCCCCTCCGGCTAGCGGCGCACGTGAGACCCCGCAGATCGCACACCCATCGAATCGGCGTTTACCATGTTAGCGGGTTGCTGTTGGTGCATGTTCCGTAATCGACACTGCGGTGGCGGTGGAGGTGTCTGCGTGTGATGAAATGCAAACGATTTTCTTGAGTTTTTGGAAACGTTGTGTGCGATGTCGCTGTACGGTTGATGGGCACATGAGACGGCGCCTTTGCGTCGACGATGAGAATCGACTTCGTATTCGCAAACGCAGAATATGGATGGACAACCTTGGCCATGTTCATTCAGTGGGTCGCATTCCCATCTAGTCGAAGCCTGTATGCAGCATGATGAGCACGTACGGAGTGTATTTTTGTTGTCTTTTTGCTCCACGACGAAGATAAGCTTCCGTGATCTCAAAAGCAATCTGGAATCATGCGAGGACTACTGCTGTAGCTTCTCTTGGAGTCCGAATATCCGCAGCATGATACAACACGAAAAAAAAACAAAACACGAAGACCCCCAAGTTTTCGGTGGTTGGCTTTGTCTCCAACGTTAGTTTGTCCCCAACGTTAGACCAAAACGACGAGGCCGACACCGTGCCCCTGCAGAGTTTTGTTCTTTTGTCTTGACTTCAAGTCATCGCTCACAGCACTAGTGCCGTTTACTTCAACCCGTGCTCACACAGAGTAGCCCCTCTCTACCCTCCCCTCCTGCGGTGCAGTACGTTGGTTAAAATGTTGGTCGAGTACACCCGCCGCTTTCTGCTGTACAGAGAGCGAGTGTGCTTCTCAACACGGCCCGATCCAACACCAATATGGACCCGGCGATTGCTACCGTCGTTTGGTTGCACCAACGATACAGTTTTAGCAAATGGTGTGTGACCCCGTCAAACGTTCACACCGAAAAGCGTTTATAGACTGCGCTTCAATCGACGGGGCGAACACACGCATGCGTACAATCAATTTTGTCGCCATCTGGTGTTCACGGGAAATTGTTCCTCCGCTGTGTGCTCGCTCGCTCGCGCGCCAACGCACCGCCCCCCCTCAACACTTTTCGTGACTACTTGTTT